CACTTGTAAACTTTTGACTATTTTTCAGAATTTTAACACAGTTGATTCTAGAGCTTTCGCTTAATTTTTTCAGTGTTTTTATATAGGAATGGGCCCTTGAAATGTGCTAACTGGTTATTTTTCCTGCCTTTCTCTTTTAAGAACACTGATTATTACATTTATAGCCCACTAAATAATCCAGGTGAATCTTCCATCTTAAGACTCTTAAATTAATTACAATCGTAAATCCATTGGTAATATTTACAGATTCCATGGATTAGGATCTGATATGTTTGGGGATCATTATTCAGGTCCCTACAGAGTTGTTTCTCACTTATGCTACTATATATCCGTGGGTATCTAGCAAATTGGAGAGCCTCCTCTACGTGGTCACGCAAGGCTGATGAAGCCTTCACCATCTGTAGCTGCACCTCCTCAAGCATGAAGCTTCCTCAATCATTGTGGCAGAGAAACATAACAAGAGAGTAATGAGTATGCTTCAACCCACCCCAAAATGATATATATCAGTTCTTTCTGCAGTCCGTTGTCTGCAACTAATACACATCTCACTCTACCTATAATTGGTAGGTACCTGTGAGGAAGCAGATGGAATGTTTGAATATCACTATTTTTGTGAGTCATGCTTTATCAATTTTTTTTGAATAATGGAATATTACTGTTTAACCTTACAGAAAATGTGATATGTGCTGGAAATTGTTCTCTGCTTTGTATGCATGTAATCTGATAACTTCATTGACAGTCTTATGAGGATGGCATGACATTATTATCTCTTTCTTTACAGATGATAAGCTGAAGTTTTATGATGACAAATTACTTACTCATTTTGAGGCCAAGCCACTTTAGTACACAAAACGAACTTGTAACTGTCACACATGCTTGCAATGAGAAAAGTGTAATAATTCTACTTGAGAATGTGGGCTCAGAGGAAAATGTGGAGAGGAAAGAATGAATCCATCTCCTTTATTGGGGGAAAAAAACACTTGAAGGCCATAACTGTGGTGGTAAGGTAAGAGGAATTTTTAAAAAAAGATTCTGCTAAAGAGACTTATTGAGGCATTTTTGAGAAAGAGTAGAAATGAAAATAAAACTAAATTAAATTTTAAAAATTCAAAGTACCAAGTGCTGCAAAAATTTGAAGAAATTTGAATGTGTTTGGCCCTGGGAGTACAAAATGGTAGAGCTACTTCCATAGACAGTTTGGCAATTTCTGTTCAATTAAGTATATTTACCAAATGAACAAGTAATCCAACTCTTAGATATTTACTCAAAGGAAATAAAAACCTATGTTCGCAAAAATTTTAGCCAATGTTTTGGTCAGCCTTATTTATAATCACTCACTGGAAACAACTCAGAAGCTCCTCAACTGTGGAAAGAAAAGAACAATATGTGAAGTTTATATTATGGAATACTACTCTGCAATTAAAAAATTCCACTACAGATACAGGTAACAATATGGATGGATCTCAATTAAATTACGCTAAGTGAAAAATGCCAGAATCAAAGACTACATATTCTAGGATTCTAGATAAGGACACTCTTGCAGAGGCAGAATTATGTGGAAAAAAGCATATTAATGGTTATGAGGGGCAATGGGTCACAGAGAGGGTTGACTACACAGAAACTCGGGGAAATTTATTATGGGTGACTGCAGTAGTGGTTACATGACTATACATGGAAATTAATGATCAAATTATTAGAACTATATACTAAAAAGTATGCATATTACTATTTGTTATTTATACATTAATTAAAAATAAAAATACTATGAAATAACAATACAAAAACATATGTGAATGTTCAAAATATCCAACTTGGTCTCCACAAGCAGTTTAATTACTTCTTCCCTAGGAAAGTAGGAAGAGACGCTGTAGGTGTTCTAATGGGGGCATCTCCTGAGAGCTCCATGTCACTATAATTCACTCCAGTTCCCATGCATTAGCCTCTGAAATCCAACATGACTCCAGGTAACTTTGTTTTAGAGGGACCAGGCTTTGGCCCTAGCCTTTTTGGTCATCGTTTATTAATCTGAATGTTGATAGTTGTTTTCACATACAGGCCTTCTCTCGATCTTAAGATTTCCTGCAAGCCTGCAGCCACGGCCAAGGCAATACTCCAAGGTAAAAATTATATTGAATGACTTTAAAATGTTAACCCTTGCACTCACCAAGTTATTTTATAGGCATTTCTTTATTTGGAAATAAGGCATTTCCTTATTTACAGATAGATTTATGCAGATTATGTGGGAGAGGTAATTTTATTATGTTTATTTTACATATGAGCAAGGAATTTATCCCTCCAAGGACACAGAAAGAATGCAGGGTAGATTCAGGACTTGAACCCATGTTAATGTTCTTTCCTCCATTGTTCTCTGCCTTAGAGGCCTTGGAACCTTTGACCACTATTTGAGAGAGCTTCTCTAACAGTATTTATGCATTATTCCATGGGTGAACTTTTTATTTCAAACACATTATTCAGGATTGACTGTCATTTGTTTTCAAACAGCAATGTAAGCTTCCATATTCAACGTACGGTTTTAGGGAAAACTGTAATTCATGCAAAAGCAGTGGGGTAGCTACACCTACTATGATTGATCAAGCACAGAAATAGATGTTTTGAACATTTTCCTTAAAAACTGAAGTGAAGCTGGGGAGTAAATGTCAAAACTTCCATCTGCAGAAAGTTAGATGATACTTATGAAACATTATGATGATCCTCTAAAAAAGATTAATAAAAAAATAATTAGGGTGATGCTACCATTAAGTGGTAATTTTATTGTGTTCACTGTATGTTTGCCCCCCTATTGTAAGTAAGGAGAAAAAAGAAAACAGGAGAGTGAAATGACTCTTCTTTAAGCTATGAAAGGGACAAAAGAGAAATAGCAAGATCCAAATTTTGTTTTAACATTTCTCCCAGAATTTCATCCTTATTGTTTCTAGCATATCTACACATGTTGACAGTGATATGGCTAAGACACGGGCTTCTGATTAGTTGATAATGGGTTTAAATCCTCACACTAGCTGTGTAATTATAGATCATTACATAACTTCACAAATCCTTAATTCTTCAGCGTTAAAATAAGAATAAGGATACTATCTACCTTACACACACACATATTGTTATATGTAAAGCTCTTAGCATTGGTTGTAGCACATGGTATATGCTAAAAGTGATTATGTATGTTAAGGTGAGCAAACACAACCTTCAAGGGCTAGCCTTGTAAAGTGACAGTGCCAAAGGTGTAGGAGGAAGATGGCAGGAAATAACAGTCAGCATAACGTGGCTGCATTTGCAAAGGACTCAGATTCAGATAAAAAGAATTAAAATACTGTTCCTACACAAGAACAGATTCATATAAAATGTATAACAACACAAAGTGTGTCACAAAAACAGATATGCAGGCTAGAGGGAAGCCACAAACTGAACTCTCACTTTATATCTCTGTGATTCAAATATGGGATGACAGTCATGAAAAAAAAGGGTTTAAGAGAAGAAGACACTTTTAACGCAATTTAAAAGATAAATTTCAAGGAAGAAATTAAGAAAAAAACTGGGTATGCGAAAGAGCAGCCAATTGTATGAGTGGAACAAGGAAAGAATGAAAGTTACTGGAGAGTACAGAAAATCTCCTGATCCTATGGTGTGAGAAAAGGCAAATGGAAGAAGGAAGCTACACGACTTCAAAATTCACTCACACCCAAAGCCCTGCATCTTACCTCTCACTTTTTCCAAACCAACAGAGAGACCATAATTCCATCCTAATAGTAATTTTATAGCTAATACTTATCACTTAACTCTCAATATTTTACTCATAGTTTTTTGTGTTTTTTTGAGGAAGATTAGCCCTGAGCTAACATCTACCGCCAATCCTCCTCTTTTTGCTGAGGAAGATTAGCCCTGAGCTAACATCCATGCCCATCTTCCTCTACTTTATATGTGGGATGCCTGCCACAGCATGGCTTGACAAGCGGTGCATAGGTCCGCACCCAGGATCCGAATCGGTGAACCCCAGGCCGCCAAAACAGATTATGTGAACTTAACCACTGCACCAGTGGGCTGGCTCCCTCATTGTTTTTTTAATGCATTATCTCATTTAATTCTTACAATAATACCTTGAGTTAGATCTCATTACTATCTTCATTTTGTAAATGGAGAAAATTAGGTTCAGGGGAGTTAGGTTAACACAAATGATTCCTAGATAGTAAGTGGTAGAGTTGATATGTACCTCATCCCAGAGCCCAAGCTCTATACCTGGTTCTATGCTTTCCCCTCAGAATTGCCTCTGCTAGTTGTGCATGCCCCTGCAGCTCCACTTATACCACCACACACACTATACATATGATTCTCAGTTGCTTCACTGTGAAACCCCCAACGCTGAATTTGGACCAATGGAGACAAGTAATTGTGAATTGAGTTAAATCTGATTCTATTTAAATTCAACTAATACAATTTTACTTAGAACCACTCTACTTGGATCCAAAGATTGGCTTTCCATTAATACTTGTGGAAACATGAATAAATTACTCAATGTCTTGGGCCTCACAATTTAAATGAAAGTAACAACTAACCAACCTCATAAGACTGTTGAGAGGAATTATTGGATATACATGTAAAGCATCTAAAGCAGTCCTGGCATATGAGCAACATAGTGGTGTAATCTTTTACTAGGATGGGAAAAACTGGATATGGCACCCCAGACATGTCATCTGAAAGAAGTCATTCAATTTTCCAAATCTCAGTTTACAAATTAAAAAATTTTAAAACTGAGACGAAGATCCATAAAGATCCTTCTAATTCAGCTATTTTTAACCACAAATAAGGTACCAAATTTTGTGGTTAAGCTCATGCTTTAGATATGGAGAATCTTGAAACACATATTATTGCTATAATGAAATAATGCACATGGTATATGAATGTTTCAATTTCACTGTAATCTCTATTCCACTTAACACTCGTACTTTATTTTACTTGGCTACAGGGCATATGATTCTCAAATAACGTAGATGGACAACAAGACAGAAGTGATGCAGTTTATCCTTGTAGGACTAACTGATAACCCAGAATTGCATATCCCTCTCTTTATAATGTTCACTCTGATTTATCTCACAAATGTGGTTGGAAATCTGGGGATGATTCTGCTGATTCTCATGGACTCTCATCTACACACTCCCATGTATTATTTTCTCAGTAACTTGTCTCTGGTAGACTTGTGTTACTCTTCAGCTGTCACTCCCACAGTCGTGGCTGGGTTTATTACAGGAGACAAGATCATTTCCTACAATGCATGTGCTGCTCAGATGTTCTTTTTTGCAGCTTTTGCCACTACAGAAAATTTTTTCTTGGCATCAATGGCTTATGACCGCTATGCAGCAGTGTGCAAACCCCTGCATTACACCACCACCATGACAACAAGTATGTGTGCACGTCTGATCATAGGCTGCTATGCCTGTGGTTTTTTGAATGCTTCCATCCACGTTGGGAACACATTCCGTCTTCCCTTCTGTATGTCCAATGTGGTCCATCACTTTTTCTGTGATATTCCAGCAGTCTTGGCTCTGTCTTGCTCTGATAGGCTTGTGAGTGAGTTGGTTCTTCTTTATGTAGCCAGCTTCAATGTCTTTTTTGCTCTCCTGGTCATCTTGATATCCTACTTATTCATATTTATAACCATCCTAAACAAGCACTCATCTGCAGGATACCAGAAGGCTTTATTCACCTGTGCCTCCCACCTCACTGCAGTCTCCATCTTCTATGGGACTCTTATTGTAATGTACTTACAGCCGAGCTCCAGTCATTCCATGGACACAGACAAAACGGCGTCTGTGTTCTATAGTATGATTATCCCCATGCTCAACCCTGTTGTCTATAGCCTGAGAAACAAGGACGTCAAGAGTGCATTCAAAAAGGTTCTTCTGGAGACAAAATTGTCTGTATGTTTGTGATTTAAATGTCATAAGATTCACAGTAACCTCATTTCATTTCTCTCAGATCTTCCCCATGTACTGACTCATATTTTAGGCCCACACTGAAGCTAAGTTCTTTAAGTTATTACCGTCCCTCTTCAAAAGTTTGTTGTCTAGAAAAAAGGAAATATTATGTTGAGAAATATAATACCAGAATGAGAATGGCTAAGGTGAATCATAAGACATCTTGTGTCCTGCTTGTCAAAAACCTTGTTATGGATATTTGACTCATTCACTCATTCTGCATACATTTCCCCTACCATATGCCGCTATAAACATACATCTAAACCAGGGGCACAAACAAGCCCATGAGCAGAAGTGTATGTATGTGCCTCATGTGGGAGCTTATACACGGGAGTGGGAAATTTGTCATATGTAATGGAATGTGGCTAGCTTTTAACTTACATAATTTAGTAATTAATTGTAGTATTAGAACGTCAATTTATGTTTAACATTATGTATCTACTTTGTTGACTAAGTGTTCTAAGGGTCCTAATTTCAAAATAAAGTGACTTTTAAATGAAAGTATTTGCCTTTTTCTTGACATATTTTATCTGGAGATACATAAATGCAACACAAATTAATTGCTACGTCTTGACTGAGCCATTTTATACAATCAATATATTCACAATATAATTTTTGAAAGAATACAAGAGCCAGAGTATAAGAAAAATGGAGGCGAAATTAAAAACATTTTCTAATTGGAAAATTACTGCATACATACAAATTGTAATTAACTTAAATTATTCTAAATGTCCATATAAATATAAACATGACAGTATCTCTCAGTAATAAAGACAATATGCATTCAATATGCTAGTATAATGCACAATCTTTGTACTTTTAATTTTGATCCTCAGGGGTTTGATACTTATAAAACCTATCTACAGGAATGTACACCCATGTCTAATTTGTTGTCTGTATAAAATAAGAGACTTCAGCATCTCAATATTTGTAAGATTGTGCCTTGAATGTGTTAGGATTCTTGTAGTGGTACTTGTGAATCATTATAGTTTAACACAAATATTCATTTTGGTATTTATGATAATGTTTCTACTCTTGCAATTGTTTCTATCTTTTATTTTAAATGATTATTTAATTTTAAAAATAACAGAAGATTTTCAGAAATAGCACAGAATGTTTCTATATAATCTTGTGGCAGGCTAAAAATAGCTGCCAAAAGATCCATGACCCAATCTCTGGAACCTGGGAATATTAATTTATATGGCAAAAAAGAACTACTGAGATGTGATTAAATTAAGAATTTTAAGATTGGGAGGTTATCCTGAATTATCTGTGTGTATCCTAAATAAAATCCCACATGTTCTTATAGGAAGGAGCCATAGAGGCTAAGATTCTGAGATGATGCTGGAAGAGGAAGCACCAGGAATCTATCTCCTCACCTAGACAATTACACTGAGAATCTGTCTGATGTAACTATTTGGCATTTCTGGAGTCTATTGGCTTGCTACTTCCAGGGGAAGACTTGGATGATAAATTGCAGTTAATTTTGATCATTTTCAGCTCTTAGCACAGTAGCAGGTACCCATTTCCCACTCTGAGCCATGTGACAAAAAGCTGTGCCTGTGTTCCTGGAGCAGCTTGCACACAACTTACAAGAGCCAGGGTGGGCTAAATGACTCTGTCCTCTAAATATTGAGAATTTGTGCTCTGATTGCTGCTTCAGATCACAGAGGTGCAAACAAAGAGGTAGGAGGTCATTGTTGTTCTACTTCCCCTATTATTTCAAGACTCCCTCCCCCCCCCATTAGCTGAAGTGACTTCCAGGGGACTTAAAGGGCTATTGCCTGTTTTATTTTCCCCTTAATTTTTTCCCCTTTCTAGAGCCAAACATTAAAGTCTAGAACATTCAAAAACAACTGCATAAAAATAAGTAGATCAGAAAACGACTATACATGCCCAGGGAGAAGCTCAGAAAAGACCTGAGGAGACCTTAAGTTTGCTCATTAGGCTGATCCTCAGCAGAGAGAGAGCCTACAGCAATCAAAAAAACAAAAACAATAACAGAAAAGAGCAAAGGCTGGGGAAAGGGGAGAATATGATGTCCAGATTCAGTGTTCTGGAAGAAATATTAGTTCACTTAACTGTTTATTGATCTCAAGTGTGTTTCAGCCATAATGATGAGCCATGGGAATACAGACTCACGCGAAGTAAACACCATTTTTGCACTCATGGTGCTCAAGTCTAATGGGGAAGATAAACACTGAACAATGAAACACCCTAAGAAGCATGCAATTATATGTAGAAAAAAATGCCATCCATTTATAATTATGTATAGAATAAGCATGTAATTATACATAGAAAAATGAGAGAGAAAAGAAGAAATCTACTTTATATTGGCTGGACAGAATGTTTTCTCATTCTCAGAAATTTTTTTTGAGGGACTGATCAATAACTTTATTGATTAAACAGTTTATTGTGTACTCAAAATATCGTTCAAGTTATCACAACTGACACAATTTTTCATGTATGAATTTCATGTGTGTAATACATTTAGGAAGGCAAATCTGTATTGTCGTAACAAAAAGAAGTCATTTTCAGGTTGTGGCAGTGTCTGATGTTAGGTGAGCCTTAGGGCAGAAGGAAAAGCCCAGAGTTTTCATTTTAGCCAGGGCTAATGACAAAGAACCAATGTGAGAAAGATCATTCCAAAGAAAGTGACAGTATGTACTAATGGCTCCAAATTTAAAAAAAGTTCGTAGAATCTAAAAGAAGCCGATGTGTCTGCAGCATAGATAGCAAAGCCACTTCCTTGATAGTTTCCATTTCAGCATCCTCTGAGAATAAAATCCAAATAAAACCAAACAAATCCATCTATTCTTGATACCAGGGTTGTTGGTCTGGATCACATGACCCGAATAGGCAGGTCATAAAGATAGCTCAAATATTATCATACCAGAAGCAATGAAAATTGGGATTCAAAATTAACTTCAAATTGGAAATGATTTGTTGGAAACCTGCAACATCGTGATAAAAGCCATTGCCGTTTCTTGAGGAATATCCATCATACCCAAGGAGAATAACTTACAGACTGTGAGTTTAAAAACCCATGATAGTGTGAGTAGTTCCTATAATTTTCCTAGAGGTTGTGAATAATTAACCTCCACTCTACTGAGATATGACTTAGTAGTAAACTCGTACACCAAGGTATTCAGCCTGTTCATGTCTCAGTCATCACCATCCCACATGGCCAATGCCTTTTTGTCTTGTCATGGCAAGAATTCCTGCTGTTCTTGCTATTGTAAATGAATCAGAACATTTTTCCCTCTAGGTCCATGTTGTTACCAACATCTATATAGTGTAATGGTTGTGAGCATAGATTGTGCACAGAAATACATCTGGTTTTAAACGTGAGACTTTTCAATTTTCTATCTTTGACACCTTTGGAAAACACCTGTAATAAAGAAGGGATAATAGCACTATCTACATCACAGTGTGATAATATATAGTAGAGTTGAGAGGAATACATGAAATGAGATATGGTCGGGAGAAAAGAGAGGGAGATACAGATAGGCAGGTCATATAGAGATATAATGTCTTGTATTATAAGAAAATTGGGTTAACTTCAGAAACTTTGTATTTGCTAAATAAAGAAGGCAATAATCTGGAATACTTAGTCATCTAGTGAGTTAATTTAAAAAAGTGTTCCATCTCTCCTTCCTCTTTCAGATATAAGAGAATTTTCAAATCAATTCACTTCAAAAGTCACTGGACAGATATATCAATTAGTCACCCTCAGAAACCTATTTATAATCTAATTTATTGCAATTAATAAGAGAAGTTACATAGTAAATAGATATGAAAATTATTATTCAAAAGAGAAGTAGATTGAGTTATGGGATGTATATACATTGATCTCAGCTCTTTTTATGGGTCAATTTATGGCTAAGAAATCTGGCACATAATTTAGTAAAAAGGACTATCAGGGATTATAGCCATGTAGAAGGGAACAGCCTAATTCTGCCAGTGAGTACAACTGTAAAAACTAATTTTTTTAAAAAAGTTGTATAAAGGCATTGAAGAACAACCAAGACAGTCATTAATTGAGAAGCCAAAGTACTAGAGAAAAGAGAAAAGGATTGACATAAACTCCTTATTTTCTTACTAAATATAAGAATTCAATATTTAGCTTGAAAGCACATTAAACACAGCAAAGGAGTAAACTAGTAAAGGGCTCAGTAGAAACTATCCAGGCTAAAAAATGGAGCAGAACACTGATAGAAATTAAAGAAAAGAGCAAGAGAGACATGAATGACCTGGTGAAAAGGCTGTTTATATATGTTTTGAAGACTAAGAAAGGAAGAGGAAAGATAATATGGTAGAAACCATACATAAAGAGATACCTGAGGGGCTGGCCTCATGGCCAAGGGGTTAAGTTCCCATGCTCTGCTTCAGCAGCCCAGAGTTCACCAGTTGGGATCCTGGGCATGGGATCAGGCCACACTGTGGTGGCACCCCACATAGAAAAACCAAAATGACCTACAACTAGGGACTTTGGGGAGAAAAAAAAGAGGAAGATTGGCAACAGATGTTAGCTCAGGGCCAAACTTCCTCACCAAAAAGTTTAAAATAAAAGAGATACCTGCTAGAATTTGTCCAAAACAAGAGCAAATTTACTAAATGGGATTTTTTGAGAAGCTCTATATTTGAAGAGTACCAACCTGCAAGTAGAAGACGAGTAAGGTCTGGAGATCTAATGCACAGCATAGTGATTATAGTCCACAAAACTATATTATATACTTCAAAGTTGATAAAAGACTAGATCTCAAATATTCTCACCACAAAAAAGTAATGATAAAATTATAATTATATGACCTGATACAAGTGTTAGCTAATGCTACAGTGGTAATCATATTGCAATATATATATATCAAATTAATACGTTATACACCTTAAATGTAAATGACATTATAAGTTAATTATATCTCAATAAAAAATAAAAAATAATTAAAATACAC